GCTGCCTCATCATTATGGAAATTGAGTCTTTCCATAAAACAACCAAAGCATGGTTTAGTCTTCTGCAAAGGGGACAAAAGATGACTAATGCATAATCAATAGGCATCATAGTACCACAAACTATTTATATTTTGATGTTTTCAGCACATAAGGCAGTGAATGGCATCAGCAATAAGCTAAACATTCAACAAAGCATGAAAATTAATAAAGACTCATAACCTTGAATTCAACCCAATGGAGGCAACAAACACAAAAGGGAATTAGAGCCAAGGTTCAGTGCCAAGAAGACTGTCTGATTTACCAGCACAAAAGGCAAATAGGAGCCAAGATTACAAGTAGCCAAGTAAACTAACTGTGGGAGGATGAAACAGGGTCAGGCAGTAGTTCAGGGCATGCAGTATATTGCTCTCAGTTAGAAGTTTAAGTCAGTGTTTCCCAACCGGTGTTCCGCGGCACACTAGTGTGCCACGAGACGTTGCCTGGTGTGCCGTGGGAGGGAGGCGGGCGAGTCGGGCGGCGAGAGGCGGGGCGGCGGCGGCGAGGAGAGGCCGCCCAGCGCGGGGCTCTCGCCGTCTGCCTGCCTGGCTGCCTGCGTGGCGCTGACGTCACGGGGCTGTAATGTGCCCCACCTAGGCACACGCGGAGCGGCGAGCGAGCTCCCTCCCACATCCCATCGCCGCTTGCTTCGGCCGGCCTACTGGGCTGTCGCAGGCGGAAGGCCTGTGCATGCGCGAGGTTTCCGCGCCTTCGGGATTCCCTTCACGCCTTCCTCCTCCCGGGTCCTTGAGAGCGCGGGAAGCGGCAGCGCGAGACCGGCGTTGAGCCTGGTAGGTATTGCACTTGCCAAGGCAGTCATTTGGGAAATGAAAACTTGCAAAGCAAGCAACCAGTTCAATCTGAAGTACGTGTATGCTTAATATCCTGTATCTGAAACCTGTTCTGCCCCCTCCCCCACACTTGGTGCCATTTTCATCTACACATGCAGCAGAGTAAGTTGACCCAGAATAGTACCAATTCAGATGGCAGATGGAGAATGACAGTGCTGAATGCTTTCCCATGTAGAACAGTCCCTGCAAATAAAAACCTAGCATATTTGGAAGAGGGATGCTAGCCTAACCATTACCTTCTATGCTGTTACTATTTTTTTATTTTTTTTTTACATAAGTAAAAAGTGACCTTTCCCCATCTGGCATGGTGGTGTGCCTCGAGATTTTTTTCATGAAACAAGTGTGCCTTTGCCCAAAAAAGGTTGGGAAACACTGGTTTAAGTATGCCCTGGGAGCTTTAGTCTCCAGGAAGGCCACTGGAGCTGCCATGGGTCTCTCTCTTCAGGTATAGCTGAAGGGAGAAAAAGCCCTCTGTTAACAAAGACTTGCAAACCTTAAATAGTAAAGGTAAAGGGACCCCTGACCATTAGGTCCAGTCGTGGCCGACTCTAGGGTTGCAGCGCTCATCTTGCTTTATCGGCCGAGGGAGCCGGCGTACAGCTTCCAGGTCATGTGGCCAGCATGACTAAGCCACTTTTGACGAACCAGAGCAGTGCATGGAAACACCGTTTATCTTCCCGCTGGAGCGGTACCTATTTATCTACTTGCACTTTGACGTGCTTTCAAACTGCTAGGTTGGCAGGAGCAGGGACCGAGCAACGGGAGCTCACCTCGTCGTGGGGATTCGAACTGCTGACCTTCTGATCGGCAAGTCCTAGGCTCTGTGGTTTAACCCACAGCGCCAACTGCGTCGAAAAAAACCCCTTAAATAGTTGCCTGCTAAACCCAAGTCCACTGGTATGGGACCCCGCCACCCCCACTCACAACTGACAACAGAAGAGGGAATTCTGGCAGATGAAGCTTATCATTAGAGTCAGTATGCCCTATGCTAGCACAGAGGCAGAATCTCAAGTAGGGATTGGGAATTTGTGGCCTTCTAGTTGTTATTGGACTACAGTTCCCACAATTCCTTACCATAGGCCAGGGTTAGGACCTGGAAGTTAGGATCAGGGAGATCCAGGTCAAAATCCCTACACATCCAAGAAGTTGATTGCATGATCCTGGCCTGTTACTCTTTCTTAGCCTAGCCCTTCTTGCAAGGTTGTAATGCAAGTAAAATGGGGTCAGACTATGAACTGTCCTGCGATCATTGGGTGAATGATGGGATAACAATGATGCAGGAATGAGTAAAATGACACCAGTTAAAATTTGCTTTTCTATACAGCTGTTACTGGTGCAGAAGCTGTGCCCTCCTTTGCCTCTCATCGCCCTATTACAAGGGGGAAGATGCCATTAATCCTCCTCCCTTGTACATAACTGACAGAACAAAGTGTCCATTGTGATTCCCAGACAGAATGAAGTCTGACTCAGAGCCAAACAAAACATTGCACGCAAACGGGTATAACAAAATCCTGACAGCCGTTCTAGGAAAAAGCAGATTCAGAAGAGGATCATTAGACCAAGAAAGTAGAAGGCGGAGGGGTGGTCAAGTACAACCCTTTCCCCTCCTGCTTGTTTCCCCACTCCTGAGCCCACCAAACCTCCTGGTTGGAGCGGGGAGGTCAAAATCAATGTTTGGACAAAATATGTTGTTGGAACCCCACAAATGGACTTTGGTGAGGGGAGCTAGGCCCATGCAGAGCTTGTCTGAGGCCCGGAGCGGGGGTCTTGTTAGAATAAACTTATAAACTCACCAAAAAAAGCAGCCAGTGCCTGGCAGGGCCCACTGCCTAGCTTTGAATTTCTTTTTCCTCTTGATTTTAATGTATCTGTGTGGGGTTTATATATGGTTGGTTAGTTGTTGGGTTGCTCTGGGCAAGATAAAAACCTACAAATTAAATAAATAAATAAAATGCAGTTTTACCTGACAAAACATAGAACTACCACAATCACAGAAAAAAGAGAGTGTGGGTGCCTTGTTTTAACAGCAAAAGTGTGGGGAGGGGGGGTTGACAAGTGCTAAACCCCCCTGGTTCTCACCACTTATTCCCTTTCCTAATCCTTGTGCTTCACCTATATTCAAACAGCCAAGCCCACTTCTAGAATTGGACCTCAGTTGAAAATAAAAACAGCAATGTGAAAGTGAATTCCAGGAAGCTGAGAAGATAGAGCATCTGCTTTGTATAAAGAAAGCCCCAGATTCAACACCAGCTATCTCCAGGTAAACTGAGAAAGACCCTTGTCTGCAGAACTGCTGTCAGTCCATCCACTCTACACAATACTGAGCTACACTGAGAACTATCTGAAAAAGTTTAAACCAGTTTCCTATGCTCTATTATGCATTTGTATGGCTGTCTCTACACTCTTCATCCACCCATCCCTGTGGCAAAATCAGATTCCCCACCCCTACTATACAAGATTGGAACAGTTTCATGTTTAGAGCTAATGACTGCTGCCATCGTTTCTATTTTGGCCCTCATATGATCACTGGACACACCTCCTTCACCAAATTTTCTACTACCACTTGCTACATTCTTCAGGTTCATGATGCACTGTGGTTTTGTGGGCCAGCATACATGTTGGTTCTGCTGAGAGACAGTGCTCACTATAGCTGGAGAAAATGGGCCAGCCCAGCTATTAGGTAGGGCAAGATGAAAATTAAAAACTAGCAAATTGCTAGTTATTTAATTTATAATTACTGTTGTACTTTTACTCCCAAGGAGAAACACTTGTGGGATTGCCTGTCTCAGGTGCTCACTACAAGCGTGACCAGTCTTGGGCTCTATGCAGCTTGGCTTGGCCCCCAGTGCAATTTGCTATTCTTTCATAGGCAGCAAAATGTCCTGGACTTGCCCTTGAACTATTTATCTTCCTGTATTGTACAACAGGCCTAGATGAAGGTGCATATTTGGGATGCAAGTAGCTTGAGCAAGACCAACACAAGAGAAAGGAG